ATCTAAAGTTTTACTGTTAGGCTAATTTTGTTGCGAATTTTATATAAAATCTGTTTGTGTCTAATACAGAACTTGGAAAAATATCATGACCACGAAACTCTTTCGTTGGCCAAGCATACAACATGATTTTGCATTGGCTAGGGAGGTTGCAAGCTGCCGAACACAAAAGCCAATAGATTGGGATGCTATTGCCCACCGATTAAGTTCACATTTTGGAAGTTAAAACTATAGGCCTAAATCTAAATCGTTTTTAAAATCCGAACTGCAAACTTGTAACGGGTACGTCGACTACCGGTTTGCGGTTTGCCGTAATAATGACGAACGTCAATCTAAAACTCTCTATTGCACAGCACACTCCCTACCTCCTCCGCAAGCCATACAGCCCGTAATTAGTATGCCCGTTCGCAGGTTGAAATTTGACAAGAAGGTTGCGGAGGAGGTAGGCACACTCTCTATATCAGGGTTTTCAGTGACTGGTTATATTAGGACCGGAACTGGCGTGAAGCAGACCGAGGTAGATTGTGAGCTTACAGATGGCGCTTTAAGCAGCCGCTATTAGTCCGTACCTCATTAATGATCTGCCCCCTGACCTGACATGGTTTCCGCACAACTGTTTTAAATGTTATAACAAATCTTTGTACTGAGATACCTTTTTCATATCATGTACTTCATTGTTTGTATTCTTAATTCGAAACAAAAGCACTCGTACCCTAATTTATTATATAGTATACAGTGCCGGACACCAAAAAATACACAGCGAGATATTTTCCATAACTACATTTCTACTAGTGAAGATATCGATCAAGTGTTCATTTTCTTTGTTATTTTTACTAATGACTATATAATAAAAAGAACATTAAATACACGGTGGCTTGAAGTTTCATATCTTATTATTTATCTTCTCGTCATGAAAACTGAAAACATATACAACAGACCGAGCGCTTTTGAACAATCCTTCAAAAGACCATCGCAATGGGGTTTCCAACTTAATGCCTCATCCATCAGCACTCCCAGAAGTTTGACACATGAATACTGAGTAATGCTTTTGTTCTTCATACTTAGGTTCAGTGGCTGTGCTACTTTAATCCTTTGACGACCTCCAATTAGGATACTTTTAGTTTTCTCCACATTTAGCACCAGACATTAGATTTTTCCGGATCCATTCCTCGACGTTAAGTAGATCATTATGAAGATTTTCTGATATTAAATTGACATTTTCTGCCACATGGTATGGAGTGCTGTCATCAGCATACAAGGTAATACTTAAATACTAGCTGTATCCAGTACAGATGGTAAATCGTTAATGAATAGACTAAACAGCATAGGTCCAAGACAACTTCCTTGGGGTACTCCACAGACAATTTTCGTTGGACTAGAAAATTCACCGTTTATGTTAACCATCGAAATTCTGCCTGTGAGATATGACTTGATCCAGTCGATGGCTCCTTCAGAAAAATTATAGTCTTACTGTCTCTATTCATTTTTACAACATAGTTTCTCAGTTTTCGATAAACAGCCCAGTCCGAAAGAAAACCAGATTTTTTTGCTTCTAACTTAGCTGCGTCTCTGAGGTTCATCAAGTCACGAATTCTCTCCGTTAGCCATGGTGCCAGTTTTGCTTTGATCGTAAATTTCTTTAAATGTGCGTAAATATCTACAATGTCCGTAAACAAATGGATGAAAGTATTTAGTGCTTCATTTGGGTCATCTGACAGTTCGACCAACCAAAACGGAATTAATTTCAGATCGCTAATGATTTGTCTTTAGAAAAGTGTTTGTAACTACGTTTGTAAACCACTCTACCCGGTCCTTTGGGAATTTTAGTCCTATTAGATAATACTGTAAGATCGTGGTCACTGAAGCATACTTGAATAACTTTGCATTTATACAGATCTTGTTCGGCTCTGTTTGTAAATACTAGGTCAAGACATGTAGATGCATTATAACTAGCTGTTCGCACTGTCCGTGTAGACTGCT